CTGGCCGAGGTGCGCTCCGTCCTTCCCCCGGGCTATAAAGTCCTTTCTAACACCACCTGGCCCAACATCATAGAACCCCACCAGGGAACCCGGTTGGGTTTCCATATTGCATCTCTGGAGGGAGGTATTATTTTTCCACTCCGCCCCCTCCTTATTGAAATCTGTAACAAGTTCAAGATTTTGCCCGGCCAGCTTACTCTAAATGCTCACCGGTTCTTGAATTGTTTCGTAAATATATGTGAATATTTGAAAATCGACCCTTCCCTTCATCTTTTCCTCCACATGTACGAAGTCTTGCCCGGGCTTTGTTTATTTTCATTCACGTAATAAGAGGAGTTTTGTGACCGGTCTTCCCCCTAGCCATAAAAGATGGAAGAAAAGATTTGTTTTTGTTGAATTCCCCCCCTGACCAATTTCCTTTCCCTAACCCTGAGTGGGCTGACCGGGTTATAAAACCTGAAAGGGTTCATCCGGAGCCCACCAAAGATCTTGAGGACGCCTGCGAGAAGCTTCTCAAGGGTGATCCTGTGACCGGGAAACCTTATGCCTATGGAGGCTGGGTATTCCGGCTATCTAATCCGGATGGGGGTGAATCTGCGACCCATGACGCAGAAGATGACCGGGCAAACTCCCCGGATGGTCATGCTGAGGCCAGTTCTCCTCGTTCAGGTCGATCATCTTCTCTTGAGCTTCTTACTTTCATTTTCTTTATTTATGTACAAGGCTCAATAACTAACCGGTCATTAGTTGCTCTGCTCTTTTTCAGACATGAACTTCAATAGGATGACCACCATCATTGAGGATGATGACGATGATGTCCAAGTCCTCCATTCCAACCGGTCTCCCAATCGCAACCCTCCCTCCCTTCCTCAAAACATTGGAGTTGAAGGGGCCTCAACTGCTCGGTGCTCTTCCTTTGACGATCTCATTCGAGACAAACAGGTGAAGTCACCCTCAGCCCTCCATTTCTCTGAAGGCGACCGGGTTGAATCCAAGCCCAAGGAGGCCAGCCATTCTTCTTCCCGTGCTAAGGGCCAGAAAAGGAAGGGCTCCCATAAGAGTTCCAAAGGGGGCAAGAAGAAGAAGACC